ACACTTTCACCTTTGTGGGACTAACCAATTAGCAGCTACACGGCCCCAGACGGTTCATGTTAGTATGGCATGGAGCCGCCATGTTGGCGAATACACGCGTCAAGACGTCGGTATGGAGATGTGCAGATGTCTCGAATAAAATCCTATTCTAGTCCATCCCATTCAGTTTGCATCTCCGCGTACAGTTATTGCAGATTGATAGCCCAAACATTATCCATCAGGTCTAGCGATTGCGGTTGGCCATGGCAGAGTATCCACGGCTGCATGGCCGTGGATGGCTGCGGTTTGCGACCGCGCATTATCCCGTTGAAATATGTCATGGGAGTGGGCAGAGCCGCCGGTTGCAGGATCTCCTGAGCGTACCATGCGAGTGTTATAGTGACCTCGGGGAACACTAACGCTGAACGGGCATCATAGGATATCGCGCCCACATCATCACACTCGGTTGGCGGGACATATAAGGGGATACCACAAATCGCTCGTCGAGGGTCTCTCCACTGCACTTCCAGACTCGAACCCAGTTGTCGCTGTCATCAAGGCAGACGCGGAACTAGTCGATGAAGATCACCCGCTGCCAGTCTGCATGGCCCCAGTTCCATCGCCCACGAGACCACGCGGGGCTGTAACGAAGTTGCTGGGGTGAGAATGGACGGTGTCGTAACGGTTGGCGTGCGGCTAGCCTTGCGTTGTGCAACGGTTGTGACTGGTACTGGCACTGACCTCATGTGACAGTGCAGGATGCACATCCCGCTGAATAGCATCTATCGTGGCAGTTGGATTTGTTAAATTCTTGGCTACCCGGGAGACGCCGCGTCGCTAGCTCACTGCTCTGAGGAAACCCACGACGTGTCCGGAGAACGGCACGACGGCCTCTCAGCCAAAGTCGCGGTGTCTCCCGAATAGCCAAGGATTTATGGATTCGAGCCGCGGAAGATTACGTGTGAGTTGGATCTGTTCGCGTGTGGCGGACAATCCGTCGATCTTCCATCCTCGTGGTGCGTGGCAGACATCCAGATCCTGTATGTCGTGTGGGCGTGCCTTCCTCAATCCCTTGTCGCCAACAGCGGGTGAAGGTGGTGTCGTACGACTGGTGCGGCGCGCAATACGACAACAGTACCAACCAGCGTCCCGCAACTCACAACCCTATCGAACGCATCTAACTGGACAAACGGCATCACCTAGCCGAAGTGTACGAGTTTATGGTGACGTCGCTACTTGATGTCGCAATGGACAGAGCGGCCATTTGAGGCCTTCTTATCTCGGCCGGTGGGCGCGACGTCACGCCCCTATTCTCGACACCCCTGTGCGCGTCGGACAGCGAAGACGAAATCATTGGCTTAGCGAATGGTGTGCAAGATACCCACCGATTTCGCAGCGGATCAGTAGTTCTTCGGGGTGAGGCTTTTTTATGACGATGATTGTAAATGTATAAGACAGTGAGCGTGAAGTTTGGGAGTTACACCTGCACCCACCCACTGAAGACCGATCTGAGTTGGAACACCTAAAAAAGGCGAGCGTGGTACGGTATGGCTCTTCTATCCTGGAATTAAAATGGTTTTTGCTCCCGACGGGACGAACTCATATTCAATTTTTTTTTGATACTCACCTTTGATAATATGCACAAAGGTCCATGCGGATCCAAGGATCCAAGGATCCAAGGTCCAAAATTACGCGTACTTCAAGTTGAGAAAAAATAAGTTCCTGTATGGCCTCTCGTCAAGTGTAGTACAGTAGTGCATTTAAGTGTGTGTGTGTGTGAGTAAAGCGTGAGGATAGGACAAGGAAGAGGAAGGAAATATCGCACGCGGTCCGTGCCCCGTTTGTTAGCAGTTAATGTCTAAGCATGATTCGAACCTGCGGCCTCATCGGCACAGACGACGTTCAGTGACATCACGACTAAGATGTTATGAATCTCCTGAGTATAAAATCTCCAGGTTGCAAGTAGCTTCCTAATGACTTCACTGACCTGAGGAAGCCTGCGACATATATGGGAAAACGTCGACCTCTCACCCAACGACGCGGCGTCTCCCGAATAACCAAGAATTTAAAATGTCGTGTTCTTAACGCAAGATCCTGAGTAGCGATTAGAACTCCTTCCGATTCTGGATAATAATTAATCTTTATTGCTCTGCACCTAGTTCATTCATTTTAGATATTGTCCATGAAGTGGTTTGTCTCTCCACAATTTCTTTAACATTTTTTGTCCCACATTTTATGTTTAGTAGCATCAGACATTCAGTGTGTGTTATTCTGCGTGTCTTGCATAATTTCTTACAATGCCTCTTGCTACCCTAACGATGCCTGAGTTTCCCATTCTTCGATCATATTTCATGACCTGCCTTATTAGAGGGTCATCTTGACGTCTGACTACATACTTCCCCATCTTGAATATTTGTCTGAGGCCTCTTACACCTTCCTTACACGAGACACATTCTATGTACATCTGCTCGAGGGTGGGCAACATGATGCAGTGTTGGCAGTTTTCTGGTTTTTAGATCCACGATTCGAATTTCTTGCTCATTGCAGTCTACGAGTCCGAAACTGTACTTGACTATAGGCACTGCAATACTACCAATTGCTGATATTTTGTTCCTGGAGTTTAGGACGGACTACAGGACGAGTCTCACTCTTCTGTAATACTCCCTTCAAATTCTCTCTTTCATTGTTTCGTTCGAAATAGCCTCACATTCTTCAATACTCATATTTGTAATATTTACTTGGTTCAAGGTCTTGAATCGCAGTGGGCATATCAACATCAATTCTCTCTGACGTTGTCATTTTGCCTGTCTTTAAATTGATTTTTGTACACTTGTTAAAACCAAACATCATGCAGATGTCATTGCTAAAGTCATTCAGGACAGGCAGCATTTGGAAGAGACTCGTCTTATTCTTAGCAAACACTTTAAGATCATCCATGTGAAACAAATGTGATACTAATGCGATGTAAGTCATTTCGGGAGTTCTTTTGGGTTTTCGAAAATTTTATTAAAAGCCTTTGCTAGATGAGAATGTATGACTGTTAATTTCTTAATCAAATAATTAGGGATCTTATCATGCCGTAAGGTTTCCAGTTTTCCATATTCTTAACTGCTCAAAAGAGGTCCTCTTCCGTGGGTTCGTAAACATGTTCCATTGTTTCAACAGGTTCATCAGCAGCATCAACTTCAGATTAAAGCCAAGATGCGTCTTTCTAAAATCTGATTTCCTTCCAGATGCTTGCTCAAAATGCTTCGACGTCATCTTTTGAATGTATGACAGCAATGTCATTCAGTTTTTGGGTCAGATTGCAATAGTATCTCTTCGATCCAGTTTAAACAATCGATTCTGCACACGGAAATCTATTCTGCATTTGTATCGTCTAATTCGTTGAGCCCATGCTTAGATTTTCTCTTTTAGCTTCTCATCTACCATTAGCCTGCTTGTGTCATTTTCAATGTGGTATTTCTGTTCAAAATTGAATATTTTTCGTTACAGTTTACAGGCGTGCGTTGATTTAGAAGTTGCCTTGGCTAAGAGTGATATTTCACGCCGAGTGTCGCCGAGATAATTATTTTCGTCCATGGTTATACAGGGCTGTTTACTCTGTTTTGCTTTCGGCCGTCGGTGTTTTGGCTGAACCAAATCTTATCTGAGATACCAGATACCCAGTTGCATACACAATGTGATTAATTCTAGTTGGATAAACAATGTGATTTTCTGTTTTTATTATTACTCGTATTATTTAACAAAATGTCATCAAGTTTCATATATATTGGATTCCTCTGAATAAAAGTCGTGATTATAACTCAATGACGAAAAAAGAACCAGGCACCTGGTTTACAAAGTTAAAAGTTACGTGTTCCGTACGGGCGGCACGATGCACCAACACCGAAGACCAGAGCGCAGGTGCGCTGACACAGTTTCTTTTAACCCCTTGCTCCTTACACCACGCGTGCGCATTGAGCCCTTAAGGAAAATGTTCTCATAACTGAGGCTCACTACACTCTATATTAAATTATATAAATATTTGTTTATGCTAATGATAGTGCGTACATTCGAAGAGGAGACCTCGCGTTTTCGTTAAAAAATGGCTTGGGGTGAATGTGAACATAGTTAAATGTCAGTTATGTCTTACCGGCTTGGCGTAACCGACGTTTGTCGCAGCCATGGCAGGCCATGGCAAAGAATGCAGGAATAGAAGAAAGGAGTTGCTACCGACCTCTGCTCGGGGCCTTGGCCGCCAACGAAGCGGCGCCTGCGACGGAGGGCGGGCCGGCGACGCAGAACATGCCCCTCCGCGCAGCTCCGCGATCCTTATCCGGCGGCGACATGGCCACAGCTGGCGGCACGGTGCACCGACACCGAAGAGCATAGCGCAGGGGCGCTGTCACCGTTTCTTTTAATCCACTTCCTCCTTACACCACGCGTTCGGCTACTGCTCATCGACCCACTTTCCCCAACCTCTTTCTGCTCTCACGTCCGAAACCTTTCTGACCAAAACGGCGCTGTCGCCACCCCTTCTCACGTCACCGGTGCGTCATGACTGGGGGGGGGGGCACGCCCCTACAGGCTGACTATGTTTCACGCCGGTACCGGAAAGGCGCGCGCGGCCGCCCGCCAAGTTCGAACCCGGGCCACCGGAGTGGCCCAAGATTATTATGAGCGTGTGAATGAACACGTATACATATCTAATTGGGTTCGTCTTTCTACGCTAGGTTTGATAGGCTAAAAATATTTCTATTAGAAAATATCTAAATAGCTCATAGATTACACACCGACAAAGGTAGCTCATAACATCGGTTGATGACATTGCAATACTTCTGGCAGGGAGGTCCTAGTCCCTACGCTGGAAAGGATATTCGACACTAGGTAGTCGAATTCAGCCGCTGCCTGGAGGAGAATTCTAGCGGTCCGCTGCTCTGATCAGTAGTTGTCCGTGGATTCTCCAATCAAGAAGCGAATGCCGGAGCAGAACCCAAACAAACGGGCCACGGATAGCGCAGTTCCTTGTATGCGGATAGCATCTTGCTTGGACTAACCTCAACCTTAGAGCTTGTTCCTAGTGGGGCGGTGTCATTCTGCTGGGAGATACCTGGTTAGGGAAAACCCCGTAGCTGACGGTAGGTCAGCGTCGGATCTCGTCATCCAGCGGGGCAAGATCGCCGCCACTTTCTGAGGTGAAAACATCCCCTACAGGTACGGGACTAATGACCTTAGAAGATGACGCACGAAATCGCTATTCAATCTTAAAATATACATGATAATAGTAATGAATAAATGTATCATGCAATGAGTAAATGTCAATAAATGTATCAAAATTGCATTGCACATACTTCAATAGTTCAAAAATTGCAGGAGGTGCTAAAATTACGGGTCTAACCATGTATAATACATGTGTAGTGTATATTTTGAAAAATGCTTAATACACCTCTAACAAGTGATGTTCTTCAGCTTCTGGGTCTATGATCGCCATCTTGATCAGATTTTCGTCCAGTTTCACTAAAGCATTGAGTGATTGCTGAAATGGCCCGTTGTTTTGTTTCTGCACATAAATGTAGCTTCACTGTGCGCACGTTATGTTGAGTTCTTCTTTTGTTCGTTGAGGTAGAAGTAGATGGGTTACATTTGTTAGAAGTATTAAAAAATTAAATATGTTGTTGGTTTATCGATGCAAATAAGTTTTCTGTAACTCGGGAGCGAAAAGTGTCTATTTTCAAGTATTACTAACTTGGCTCTGTTGGTACTTCTCTTCATCATTCAACTATTTACGGTTAAAGGTAGAAAAGAGATTCCAGAGCTCAAGAAATCGTGTGCAGAGTCTTCTTCCTTCCCATGCGTCGCATACAGTTTTTACTGTCCTTTGACAAAAAAAACAACAACTAAAAACGATTGGCAACGCCACGAGAACCCACAACAATTGCGAATTGTTGACGACGACTGACGACAGCTCTACTTTACATATTCGTACTGTTTGCCCCCGACCTATGAGGCAATAGTGCTGAAATCTGGCAACGAGGGGAGAAGTGGCGAGATGGCGCGGGATGTCCACACCTCGCTCTGGCATCTTAAAGGTGCACCGCCGGCCACAGACGTCACCCCAGTGCCTGTGATGGTACAACTGTGTGTTTGCCCCTCCGAGTGGAGAATCGTGCTGGGGAATAACAAACATTAAAATCAGTGCGTATGCGCAGATCGCTACGGTTGCGTGTATGAGCAAAAGTCAGTGTGGCTCAGCAAGAGCGAGCACAAGTCGAGCTGGCAGACTTTAAATACTACATCATTATTTAGGAAGATTCAAGAGCCTTGCTTAAAGCCAATTTAAATTTAGTATCAATGCTTTCTACGTTAGTGTATTTTTACTTATTTATATTTTGTTTTATTTGCTTCTTAGTTTTTAATTTTTATTTTTAAATTATTATTATTATTATTATTATTATTATTATTATTATTATTATTATTTTAAACTCTTGACACTATTAACCTATGTATACATATATAACTATGCAGTAGATAGAAAATTGCAGTTTATAACTAAGTATAGATTGTGAATTATAGTATATACGGTTAGTTTTGTGACGCCGCCTGCCTGTATAAGACTGTAACCCATTGTAAAAGCATTAAATTGATATTTCAGAACTGCAGTTGTATTATTTGGGTATGTTCCTAAATGATTCCGAATATTAATTTCGGTATGCCACAATCTCTCCTACCCAAGAGATTTAAAACATTTTGATTGTAATTATTTTTGATTGCGTTGATGTTAAGGATTGAGTCTTAAATTAATAATTTTTTTCTTCTGTAGTCTGCCTGCCTCTCATTAAAAACTGCATTTATGATGTTAGCAACCAGATCACTGGAAATAAAGTGAATAAGACAACACTTACAGCATCAAGTATGATTGTGGTGAATTCGCAATTCACGTTTTCAAGTAGCAGTTCGTGCAACCAACATAATTTCTGTTGCAAGCACTCGTTCCAGTAAGATGCCATTGCCGAGAGATTTTCCTGATGCACTACATTTCTTGATATACCTTAAATTCGTTGATCTTACAAAATTCTTTTCTCATGGTGTTGATCACGTCTTCTTCAATATCTCTTCTTTTTTCCTTAATTTATTTTTGCTTTACTATGTTTTGTGCTCTTTATATTAATATATTTCACTACACCTAATACCGATGTATGACCAATGTGTAACAAGGAAACTATACAATAAATAAGTAATCAAAAATTTATTTTTTCAAGTAGCTCATGGAGAGAAAAGTGTGATATCCGACATAATTGAAAATAGATAATGAAACTAATCTACTTGTTCAAGAAATGTGGCAAATTCTAACATTCATTAGTAGCAACATTGGCACAATTTATGTATATATTTGTATCCCACTTTGTCATATTACACATATAATAAACATTCAATATTCACTTTAAAAACCTCGATCGCAAAAAGAAATTACTTTCACAAGCAGTTTCTTGAAAACATCTCATCAGCGCATTCTTTACATTTGTTTCGGCCATTTTATTATCAGTCACGGTCACTTGATAAGGAGGATAGAGCGAAAATCAATCCCATTGTCTGCAAACTTTATAACATCTATACTCCACCTCATCGTATGTGCGCATGTTGTACGCTTGAATAGGACATATACTTGAATTTAACAACGATATAACATTTTAATTGCAGAGAAATGATGTAAGACCTGAAGATTGAAAGTTGTAGAAATATGCCTAAACTCTTACAAATGGTAAATCTGGAAATATTAACTTACAAGTGATCAGCTACGAGTAATTCGATTCGATATTCTTGACTAGTGTTGCTAGTCTAATTTTATGTTTCACTGTACATACTTTCACCTACTTCATATACAATGTATATGTACGTCTCTTACCGTACTACATGATTATGGAACTTCTGTGATTTTGTACTGTGCTGTAACACAGTTCTGTAACTGTGGTCGTGTCGGTCGCTGATGATTCTAACAACAGGCTGAGATGGCTCAGTAAAAACTTACCGTTAATGGTGCAGTGTAACTGACTGAGAGACGCCAATGATGACGGATTTTTTATACTAGCTCCAGCGCTACAGCTCGCTCACTACAGCGAGGTCAATTTCACTCGCTGTCACTAGGTAGGTCGGCGCCGAATCTCACGTTTCAGCAGGATGGAGAATCGCCACCTCCCTTGAGTGTCATTCACTCCACTGACGGGACAATGGCCAAAGTAGTTATCGGGAGTGGTGTCTGAATTGATGCCACTGTAGTATCTCGGAGTGGGAGGTCCTAGGTTCGAGTCCTGACGATGGCAAGATTTTCGAAACTGTCTTGTCATACGACACAGCTAGGTCGAATTCAGACGCTGTCTGGAGGTGAATTCTAGCGGTCGGCTGCTGTAATCGGTAGTTTTCCGTGGTTTTTCCGATCAATACCAGGCGAATGCCTGAGCAGTACCCTAAAAAACGGGCCCCGGATCACGCGATCTTTCCTTCTCCTTCATTGCCTTATCTTCGCCCTCACACACACAACTGCATGCACTACACATGACGAGAGACCAGTTGGAAGCTTAGAGCTTGTCTCAGCTGGGGCGGTGTCCCGCTTGTGGGAGATACCAGGTTGAAGAAAACCCCACAAGCCGACAGATAGGTTGGCATAAGGTCTCACCATCCAGCGGGGAAGATCACCGGCACCTCCCGAGGAGAAAACATGCACTACATTTACGGATCTCATGACCTTATCTGTCGACGAGCACGGAACCTGGTAAATACCCTTCGAGAGACTAGATCTAACGAGTAGATTAAAAAGCAAGATGGCGCGTACCTGCGGCGCCAGCGAGCGCGACGGCGCACAGCAGCGCGAGGCGCAGGCGTCTGGAGGCGCGGGCGGAGGCCATGCTGCTCGGAGGGGCGGCGGCGCGAAACTGCACGGCCGGGGGCCGTCCGCCCGGCGTCGCCTCGGCCCCGCCCCCGCGCCCCGCCGCATCTGCGTGTCGCCAGCGGGGCTTCCTGAGCAGCCTCGCCTCGCCTCGCCTCGCCGTTGTCACCGTTGCGGAAACGCGTTTTTGTCCTTTCGTCGTGTGAGAGGCTCCCAGAGAACGTCGTAATGTGGGTTGTCTCGCGCTCCAAGGACCGAGGCGTTTGTAGACCGCCGGTTTCTAACTTTTCCTTCGCCGTGAAATCCTTTTGGATGTTCACTGGGCAATTTGGACTACAGAACGGAGGGACGCGTCTCACGTATAGATGCAAGACTCGCCGTGAGGCGCGGATGGCCGAGAAGAAATTGCACGCACGGTTTTCCGAATGTACACAACCACTTTGCACGATCTTGATTCGCTGGTGCACGTATGAGCACCGTTCGTGCATTAAAAGAGCAAATTGTAATCATCTACGTTTACACATCATTGTAGCATCAGAGTCTTCTGCAGTTATCGCTTTTCTGGCCCTTTTTCACTTTTCCCTTTTCGTTTCTAGAACTTTCTCTACTTCTGTGCAAAACTGATTG